CACATTCTGTCTCTCACAGTTGAAGTGTACCTCTGGTGCAAATTACTGACCTCTGTCATCAGTTTAGGTGGGGGAACTTGCACAATCGGTGGCTGACTAAATACTTTTTTGCCCCACTGTACATGCATCTATATGAAACTGTTTGTTTGGTGGTTGAAAGGTGCTGTTGCTCGGTTGATGTGTGTAATCTTTGAGTACCCAAAGTGCCTCATCCTACTGAGACATCCCTGATACTCACAGGCAGGTCACTTTACCATCTGTAATGGGTTGTATTTTATACAAATGCACTGCAATGAAATGTGTCCTTAATGGGCTGACACAAAGGTGAAGAATGAGGGAAACATATCCCCAGCATCACAGCGTTGACACGTATTTGGTGCTGTTTAAACAGTAATCAATAAAACTGACTTCTGCGTAAATCAGAAAAATTAGGGAAATTTTTTTAATCAATGTGTTTCTTGGTTGGATTTGGGAGAGTTTGACAGAGGTCAACATGTACTGGCTGTTTATTGTTTTAAGAAATTAACATGAGAAGGGCTTAAATTACAGACAAATACATGTTTTTATTCCCAAGTTTTCTTTTGGAGAAAAACCCTCATTTCAATTCTCACAGGCCTTAGAATGAAGCAGGGAATTAGCCTCCTCTGCAGCTGTCTGATCATTACATTTCACAACTTTAGTCTTTAGTCCAAACATGTGTCTGCATGAAATCCAATGCAGCTCTCACATCTGCCCACATGTGGCGACCTCATTAAGATTCAGACACGACCAATCAATCTTCCCGCAATAATTCCTCGTAATTACTCCAGATAAACATCACCCAGTCTGGGTTGGACTTCACGATGCTAAATGAGGGCAATTTACAAAGAATTGATTTCAACTGCAAGGAAATGTATGCAGAACCATCTGATCGATCTCAGCTCTGACATGTAAATTCAGACAACAAAACTCTTCTTCAAGCAGGTAAAACAGGCTCCAAACTTCCTTTTTCTTTAAGTTGTAACACTGGGCAGACATACAGAACTCATTGCATGCTTAATTGTCATTTTTTTCCTAACCAGCTAGTCCAGAAGACAACGAGAAGCACACTGACTGTATTTAGGTGTTATGGTTAAATAATAATGTTTAATGTGACATAAGTAAATAAACAGATTTTAAACGATTCAGCCTGAGACTATAGATATTTTTTTCCTATGAAGTC